GGTTGCAGTTGCAAATCCATCTACCACCCATATAAAAAGTACATAGCTTTAGCTGTACTTTCTGAGCAGAGTTCAGCTTTCCTTTGACCTGGTCTACCTAGTGGCACGAAAGTCCTCGCTATGAAGCTGTTAATGCCTCCAGGGACTCCAGGCGAGGCCCCCACCCACGCCCCATCATCCGCAGCGAGCAAGGGATGCGGAGTATCCATGATGCGCCTGAATCGGAGAAAAACAGCAGTAAAAAAATTCACGACCTCCCTCTCACAAGGGCCAGGAACGACCACCCTCGTGTTGTAAACGACGACGGTGAGCCCTGCTTGCAACGTTCTTTTCGTCGCCGCAACATCATACATGAACCATCAGAAAAATAAGTTTCTTTCCTTACAGAACTCTTCTATCAGATGAATCAAAGTCTGAGTTCTCAATCCGACAAGCTCGCATACCTTTCCTATGGCAATCCATTTCTTCTGGTCTGGCGTCAACGTCTCCTCACCGCAGGCTGACTGGATGTTGAGCTTGTAGAAGGCTAAGTTCCCTTCGCTGGCTACAATGTGAAGACTTATATTTGGTATCACTACAGTTGATATCGCAGCAATCAGTCGGGGCTGTTTCAAGACGGACGAATGAGCCCACCACGGCGTTTCCATGATTGGTCGTTTTCTACCCAAATCGATCGCTAATCGGTCACCATTGGTGAGACAAGGCGCTCGGAGGCGGGCTCATTCCGCTCCTCTTGACAACGCCTCGACTGATTGCGACTTTGTCAACTATATGTAACTACTTTGAAACACTACTTGATTGAACAAGCTGTAGAAATTCATAAACTCTTACACCAACCTTCACAATGCTCGTTCAAAAGCATCTCTCCAGTTGGACATTGACATTCGCGAGATGAATATCTGTTTTGTGATGTTGTTATCAAATCGGTTAAACATAAGTTCCTTGCAGTAGTAGGAATTACTGTTGTTGTCGTTGTTGTTATTGTTGTAGGAGTTATCGTAGTAGAATAACTGTTGCTTCCTGATTCGACTGATCCTGAGATGGCAGGGTTTGGAAGCGATGGGGCAGGAGATGTTGCAGTGTTGGAATCTGTCATCCGGACTGAGTTCATCTCACTCGATGACGACGATATCAGGGATTGATCGGAATGGTCGTTATCGATCTGACTGGTTTGTGGACGAATAGTGGTACGAAACTTCGGGTTGACTGCGCTTTCATCTGGTAACGGTATCAGCACTCCTGCATATCCTCCGGGTGCAGATGTTTTGGGTGGAGTGGCAGTTGCCTGTCCACTGACGGCCGGGTCCAGGGTATTTAACCGATCAGGCTTGGATCCGGACGAACTCATTCCCTGCTTTTCACGCTCTCTTTCTGTTGTTCCCTGACCAGATGAAGAGGCGATTAGATCGCCATCGCCCGAGGTGATCAATTCAGTTACTACTTGAATATGAGTAAGCCTTCCAGAAGTTGTACTCTGTACTGACCACGGCCTTGTTGTTGTCAGGCGGCCTCGCACATGAGGTTTTGTTGGCACTATCACAACAGTTTTCACTGATGGAGGCTGAGCTGTAGATGGAGTAGTTGATGAAGTAGTTGATAATAGAGGTGACTGCGATTCTTGTTCATTACTATTATAATTCGGTGAATAAGTAGATTTAGGTGAAGAGGGAGCTTGAGTAGAGGTAGATAATGGTCGACTCAGCTTAACAAATGGATCATCTGGAGAAGAAATACTATCAGGCACGAGTACAGTTTGTTCAGTCGGCACAATAGGATTAGGTCCCAGTTGAATAACTGAAGGATTAGATGGCGGTGTTGGTGGCAGCAATGTCGGAAATGGCGGTGGCAATGGTGGTAAACCGGTAATTTTTGAAAGCTGTACTGGAGGTGGTTGAGTAAAAGACGACGGTGAAGTTAAATACAAATCAGGCGAAGGTAGTGTAGATAGCGGCGGAAATAAAGTAGGAAATTGAGGTGGACGAATATCAGGTAGTTGATTAGGATTAGTGAGTTTCAGAAATGTATCGGTATAGTTGAGAGGTGGTGGCATGGCTACTTGTCTCGTTCGGTTATAGTAGCATCGAAACGAGAATTCCAACGCTCGAACGTAGAGTTGATCTAAATGAAAACCAATATATTCACGCCTTTCACAATGAGAAATTCCTTGAAACATTCATCGAGAGAGTCAAAAGGCGAGTTTATGATTGCGAAATGAGCGCTACAGTTGACTAGTTCCAAAATACGCCTTTGAGCGTTTTTGGCGCTTTTTCAATAAAACACTTTGGTGCATACTGTAAACGGTTAGGATAAGGCTGCGTTCATACTTTGCGGCAGCTCCTACAGCAACCAATAGCGTCCGCTAGAGTTCCGAGCGTCCGGCAGCGTCAGCGACTAGAAAAACGTAGATATTGATCCAGCGTCTGCCAGCGCCCATAAATGTTTATCACTGGCAGACGGTAGATCAGCACCTATACTTCCCTAGCCCTAAAGACGCTGGGGACGTTATTAGGCGCTTGCAGACGCTGGCAGACGCTAGATCGATAATCTATCCTTCCGAGTCGCTGACGGACGCTCGGAACGCTGTTGGGCGCTATTGGTCGATGGTGGACGCTGCCGCAAAGTGTGAACGCAGCCTGAATTTCTGCCCACCGAGCCCAGGAGTGGAGAAAGAGATTTACCCATCCCAGAATTTCTCTTTCCGCAAGTTTACATAAAAATTCTCATGGTTCACGACCCCTCAGGTGCAGAAATAGTCCTCACTTGATAGATCAATGCTGGATCTTATTCAGTGACTTTTTCACTACTATAGGAAAGAAAAGGAAACCTTCGTCGCTGCCATCGATGCAGTGTTTTTCACCGTCGAGCAACCATGGCCACAGAACGCACTCGCCATATCCACGACATGGAAATGCACTCGGCTCTCCGCATAGCTTTTCCTCTGAAAAGTTGTTTGTTTAGACAGTCTCCACAGTGTCTTTCGATAACTTATGTGCTGAGTTTGTTCTTCATTTTTGCTGAATGTCATCGTTAGGAATAGAAGACACCTTACACTTTGAAAAGGGACTTGAGCGAGTTTACGCTTTAGCGGTGATGCTTATGTTGACCTCCCTTCATTGTGAAACTACAGGTGTATGCAGAACATCCGTAGCGCGATATGTCGCGCGAATCAGACATATCCCTGGGGAGACGGGCAGGACAATCAGAGTTCGTCAAGTTCTCAGCAAGTGTCAATTTGTCGCAGCGAAACTCATATGAATTGAGGCCCGGACAAGACTCCACAACGGGCGATATCGAGTGTGTCCGTCCCTTTAACACTCAAAATCCAATTGCCAGTAGGAAAACTCGTCGGCAAGAGCAGTGCCGCTCGTCACACCCACCAGCGCGGCATACTATGATACAATGTCTTACCACGTACTCGTCTTCTCCGCTCAGAAGCGTTACTCTCAAGTCGCGGTATCGCGCTAGAAGGGTATTCCTTGGCTAATTGACAACACAGATACAGAGAGAGCTGGACGACTCAAGAGGGCGCAACCAGGGTACGCCATTGTTGTGATCATCACAAGGGGGGAGGTCGTATTTGGTCAGTTCACGGACGCACTACTATTTCCGACACTTGAAAATGATAGTTTAATTCTGACGACCCCCCCCCTCCCCCGCTCGACGGCTCGGTTCGATGAGGAAGGACAGAGGGCTGGGAGGGGGGGGGTCGTACCAACTCCCAAAAAGGGGGTCGTATTTTAGTATGGAATTAGGGGGGTCGTAATTTTCAGAAAATGATCACAACGCGATGGCGTGCCCTGGGCGCAACTCAGAGACAGTCAAAAGAGTGGGTGGGCCGCAGCACTGCCACGTTGAGTGGATTGGGTCCTCTTGCATACGTCCCCTGCTTACAGCGCATATTTCGTCGCACTTGCCACGGCACACTCCCTGCCCAATATTCCCATCTCGGAGGCCCGACCTGGCGCTTTTACACCAAACCGGTATTGAGCCTTCCTACACGCTTGATTTCACGGTTTTATTTCGAAGTTTTTCACAATCGGAAATCTGAATTATTTTCCTTCAAAATTCAAGATCTTTGAATAAATGATTGCTATTCTGTCATGGGAATCGTTCAATAAAAATTGTTGAACAGAGAGCGGGTCTGGCAGTGGTCCTCAAACATGCAATGTGAGGGAGCAGTCTATTGAACGTGCGAATTTTTTCAATGTAGTGGCCTAAATTACACCCTAAGACTGCTGTAAGCGGTCCTGCTCACAGCATGAACGAGTTCAATGGAATGCTCACTCGATACGGAACACCACGGTGGTTGACGGCTAGAGTCGTCACATCTGGATGAGAACAAGCAGCTGAACGCCTGTGACACATCAACGCAATACGCGCCGCATTTGACTTGACCGAAAAAGCACCCTGAAATGATGAGTTTCAGAAAACTGACATTCGGCAACATTTGTACAGAACTACATAGTTGTGACGTACATTCGTCACTGCCGTCGTAGCAGTCCGGTTTACCATCATGGAATGAAGTGACTGGTACGCAGCGGCCGAATCCACAGTCGAAGTCGCCTGGCAGGCAACGTCCCGGTAGTCGACCGGCCACCGCTAAAACAGAGTCAGCTTGAACTCTCAAGTAAGATGAATTAATCTATGTGAATATCACAATTTATTAGGCAGTGAGAGTGATAGTGGCATCAATTCACAGCTTAGGACTTCGTTCACAGCCGTAGTCTTTGCTGATCGTATGGGCGGAGAACGTCGGCCATCGTGCCTCTCTCATTGGTGTGCCCGTCCCCTTTGCCTGGATAGAAACAGGACGGCACTAATGAGAGTCGCAAAGAAAGTTTCTTTTTTGTCGACCATTTTTCGTGGTTTATAAGTGACTTATTTAGTTTTGATGAAGCCAAGGTTTTGCGTGCTGCGTGTTTTATCTGGCACCCTAGCACCCTTACGTCTGTCCATCATTCCAGCACGATAAGAGGTCCTGTGGCAATCTAGCCTAGAGACATGCTTACAGTTGTGACAGCATAAAAATGATCCCACTAAAAGAGCAGCGGCCGCTACGTTCAAGCAATTACGCAGCCCCGCCTACCGTATCTCAGGGATTTGGTGCGCACTTTCTACCAGGTGGTCTTAATCTTGTCAAGACCAGCAATGGGGAACATCTTAGTAATTGTATAGAGTGAAGGTTTCGCTTCGCTCTAGTGTACCAGAGACTGGAGGGGCATACAAGTCAATGCGAAGCAGTTCTTAACTTTCGTTTTAAATTTATATCCAGTAGTAAGTCCCTATGCAGGGCTTTTGAGTGACGTTTCCTTTCATGAGATCGGCTGTTGCCGCTCAGGGGCTAAAAAGGTGCCTTGAAAAAAGCGAAGAGTGCTATCACGCGGAAAATTCCAAAGGGCACTTCGTCATAGGGTAGTGAACCAGAAAGGTCGCACATGGCAGAGCTGTATAGTGGAATTCAGGAAATCACTGAGAACACCATTAAAATAGTAGAAAACTTCCAACTGAAGAAACATTATAGTGGCGTTCAGTGCTCCTATTGAATATACTATATGTTTCTCTTACCCTTAAAGACACATAGTACGCTCATACACATTGAGGGTGTATGAGACTATCAGCCCCCCAGATGTCGATGTGTCGTGGTCCCCCCGCCCAAACATGCCCAGGAATGGAGATACAGGGCCGTGAAACACGCTAATTCTTCCATGCTCCGCCCACTGCCTTTTTACGGCGCAGATTCCCGCCGTTCATAACATCCGTTGCAAGCGCGCCTGTCGCGTGCGGCTCCTTGGCACTTTGCCAAGTCCTTTAATTGCGCTCTCAAATACAAGTAAAACGCAATTTCCTGATGCGGATAACATTGGAGGTGCTACAAAATAAGAGCAGAAGATGATGACAAGGGGCAGAACTCAAGAGCAACTCGGCTGCATCTGCAGTATCCATCAAGGGCCGCGCATTCCCACAAAACATGAAAATAAAAACAGCCCAAGCGTCCCACTCGTTTGTTCTAAGTATTTCTATGGCTTTGGCGCCGGATCGTAGAAATTTACAGGCCAGTTTATCTAATTTGCCTTTCCTTGATTTTTTCATTTTTGTTTTGTTTACATTTACATCGTTGTGCTTCATTTCTAGCCTGTGTCATCTTCATCTCCTTGTACATGGATTTTGAAGTATGAGCAACACCTAAAATTTTATTCGCATCAGGAAATTGCGTTTTGCTTGTATTAAACTAACGAGTATGCCGTTTTTAGTTTTTATTTTCATGTTTCGTGGAAATACGTGGCCTCCGAGGGATGTTGCAGAAGTGGCACAGTCGCTTTTAGGTTCTGACCCTCGTCATCATCTTCTGCTCTTATTTTGTAGCACCTCCAATGTTATCCGCATCAGGAAATTGCGTTTTACTTGTATTTGAGAGCGCAATTAAAGGACTTGGCAAAGTGCCAAGGAGCCGCACGCGACAGGCGCGCTTGCAACGGATGTTATGAACGGCGGGAATCTGCGCCGTAAAAAGGCAGTGGGCGGAGCATGGAAGAATTAGCGTGTTTCACGGCCCTGTATCTCCATTCCTGGGCATGTTTGGGCGGGGGGACCACGACACATCGACATCTGGGGGCTGATAGTCTCATACACCCTCAATGTGTATGAGCGTACTATGTGTCTTTAAGCTTTTTTCCCG